CGCTAACTCAGGAACCGGGAAGCTAGAAAGCTGAAATTTTGAGGCTGTGTTCCCTGCCCGCACGGAACTCAAAGATTTCAAATTCAGCCTCCAGGTATGCGTGGTTCCCGCGTATGGCCCTGTGAGGTTTCTTGGCGCGAAAATCGCTAACTAGGGAGCCAGGAAAGCTGGGAGGCTGAAATTTTAATGGAATGTTCCCAGCACATATACAATTTAAAATTATCAAATTCAGGTTCCGTGTATGCGTGGTTTTCACATACGGCCCTGTGAAAGTTTTTGGAGCGAATATAGGTAACTTGGGAACTAGGAAAACTGGGAGGCTGAAATTTTCAGAAAATGTTCTTAGCATATGTAGAGCTTAAATTTATCAGATTCAGGCCCTGCGCGTGTGTATGTGTGTGTGTGTGGTTATTACGTACGGCCTCGTGAATGTTTTTGACGCGAAAATGGCTGGAGAGCTGAAATTTTCAGGGGATGTTCCTAGCACAATTACAACTTACAATTATCAAGTTCAGCTCTTCAATATGTGTGGTACACACGTACAGTCCCGTGGAAGTTTTTGGCAAAAAACTGCTAACTCAAGAACCAGAAAATTTGAAAAGCTAAGTTTGAACGGAATGTTCCCTGTCCAAATAGTGCGAGACTATTAGCTTCCCGGACCTTGAGGACCAGTATATCACACATTTCTATCTACTGGGTTTCCGAGTGATCTCATTACAGCACAAAATATTGCTAAAATGCATGATCGCACGGGCTTGTCCGGTGCGCATCGCTAATGTTTTAGCATTATTTCAGTTTAGCAGGTGTCTCATCCTGTCTTTTATCTCATCAACATTAGCTAATATTAGCGAATATGACCCCAAAGCGAACGGATTTGCTCTTATGGTAAGAATCAGGGGTTCGACTCTGTCAACTCGAGGTCCATCGGCCCTCGCGAGAAACGCATTTGACAGAGTTTCAGCTGTTTCAATTTGCACTTAGTGTACATCAAGTACTGCCAACCTCGTCTCGAATTTTGCCTCTCCGTAGTTCACGATACCGTTTCGGAGTTACGGGTTTGAGAATTGCAACAGATAACTACTGATGGAGAGCTGACTTCATTCGAGCAGCAGATGCTAACGAACTCTGATGACAGACCCGAATTTTATTGAGAAATTCATAAAGTAGAAGCATAGAGAACGGCATCTATTTTCCCGGAATATTTCAAGATGAACTTGAAAATAATAGAAAATCGTAATTTCACAATTGAGAGTTTCCTAGAAACCCTATAAAGGAACCATAAGTTTCATTTGAAAATAAATTACGTTTCTTACGATACAATATTAGTTTGTTACGATACAACATCAGCAGTTTTTCGCGTGAAATTTCGTCTTTTCACACTGGCTGATAAGCGTACCGTTGGCATACAACACCAGCAGGGGATGTTCGGACACGATCGCAGAACGCATCATCCCACTGTCCGAAGCCATTCTTGAGATTTGCCAACACGCAGGTAACATTACGACCACAGCAACCATCCGGTTGCGACGATCTCCAGTTCGTATAGACAGCTGGTTGATATCCGAATGGATGATAACCGTAGCGTGCTGCAGTAGCATTGTTCAACATTGGTACCATCCAAGTTCCGGACAGCTTGCGAACACCAATCCAGTACGGCCCACCAGTTTTGTTGTATTTCATGTAAGTTCCTTAAAAAAATGTAAAAGGATGAAATTTAGAAAACCATACTGCATTTCTCTAATACTTTTTCTGTTGCAACCGTCACACTGACGAGGTCCAACTTGCAACACTGAATGGAAATGTATGCGACTTAGTAGACCGAAACATTCCAATTCAATTTTTATTTTTGCTTCTAGTTGTTACTTTTTTCTTCTGCTCACAACCTGTTTCATAACTCCATAAAATACTCAAATTTGAAAAGTTTTACTTCTCTGCACGAACAGGACTGTTACCATTTCTAAGGTTGACAGATTTGTAAAAAGTAACGTTATTCTTATGTCTGAGTTAATGATTGTTTTGTTTTGTCAGTGAAAAAACCCATCCCTTCTACGAACTGTTTTGGGAATAAATTGGTACTGATACATTCATTCCATGAGTCAAAACGCCATCAGATTGTTTTTCTGAAAGATGAAAACATGGAAAGGGAGGAGGGTGTTCTGATTTTAATTTTTGACAAGACGTAAGCAGTTGGCATCGCATTTGAAACCATCACATCACAAAAATTGTATGAGGGTTACAGCTATGTAATGTATAACTATAGTTTTCGATTATAACTATATAATACATTATTTCCAAGTCAGTAAGGTAGCAATTCATCCTAATCCAGGAGCAGCATTCTTTGAAACGAGTTGGTGACAATCAACACACATTAGTGACATCTTGAAACGGCTAGGTTTTTGTTTAAGCGCTTCTGCTGTAAAGCGCCGTAAGTTGGTAATCCCTTCAGGGACGAAATGAAGGACACTAGTCAGCTCATCATCAAACAATGTAACACTGCCTAAAAGGTGACTGGAAGATGGTCAGTTGTACAGTTGAAAAACCTGTTCACACCTTCAGTTAACAAGCTATTAAAATAATCATAATGTGCTAGTCACGCAAGCACTTACGCTTTATGAACGAATTTTGTAATGCATTTCTTGGTGCTGCCACAGTGGCATTCCATGCACGGCATCCATGTTCGGCAAACGTATACGGTAGTCGACCATAAATCTAAGAAAAGCCAAAAGCATGTGCTTAGAAAAAAAGGAACAAAATGGAACCCATATCGATACAAATGGTGGAAAGATTGAAAACAAATAGATACTTAGCATACCGGCAAGAAGCATAAATCATCGTCCGGGTACCACGTCCATCCAGGAAGGCATCCTGCAAAATCAACATTATACACTAACCTTAGTAGCTGCTGTAATGGTCTGCACGAAATAGATTTTTTTTTCAGAGTTCAGGCATTCATCTGGAAATATGGGTCGCTAGGTGGTCAATTCTACTATCTGTATTTTTTTTGTTTTTCTTTTTTTTTTTTTTTTTTTTTTTTTTTTTTGGGGGGGGGG